CAAGGTAGGGAGTGAAAACTGGGGACACAGAGCACCTCCTGAGGCATTTGACAAATGGGTAAAATAAACCCGTGAGGAGAGGGCCTGGTCTAGCCCTCCTCCCCTCCGCAAGCATTTCCGTTGCCTTTTGCTGGTGGAGGCAGTGTTCGCAAGAGGAGAGCCTCTCGTATCTCCACATAATGAAGACTGCTGGGAAAAAGTCTAGACTAAACAGCAACAAAAACATGAGCGGCAGGTGATGAGGCTTCTCTCGCCTCTTCTTACACCTGAACAGGGCTACTGTTAATTGGTTAATCCAAAGTGTTTTCAGTGAACAGTCTTTGACAGGATCTGTTACTATGCCAATGAACGGCTTGCAATGTTGCACGTCAGTGCCTGAACTAATCAGTCAACGACATTATTCACTTGCCTTTTGAAAACTGTGTAAAAGCCTATTTTGGTGGGGAGGTTTTGCTTTTCGTGTATGTGTATTAGTCTTCTGGAATTCTTTGTTCAAGTGTGTTGGTGATATGTGTTTTAATGTGCCGAGAGTTCTTTAGGGATTTAATAACAATACTGCTGAACTATAGAATCATCATATCACATATAAACCATCTTTACACATCTCTGGATCAAAATAACATTAACACCATAATCTCAAAATAATGATTGTTCACTTTTAAATACACAGGAATAAAAATTAAACAAACCCTTGTAAAGTACGTTCTATTCTCCCCATAATGAAACATCTGAGGAATAGGTTTACAAAAAAATTCCCTGCAAAGCCAGAAAATACGCGGTGCAAAAGTCTCATTGTTCTCTGTAGACATTTCACATGACATGGCACCAGGTCACAGCTGAGCTAGAGGTGTATTTCTAACAGCAGCCATTTTGTTCCTGTCCTGCGTTGACACTGATCAGATAACCAGACTGTATTCGTGCAGCAAGACCCTGGACAGCATCTAGTTAGTTTCTTTCTTCTGATGGCCTGTCATTCTGTCAGTCCTGACCTTCAGGCTGTCCTGCACCATCTGAATCACACTCTCTCTGCACTTTCTCACTGACTGCAAGCTACTGTTGTCTCACTGTCTGACCTTACACAAACACAATACAAACAGACAACCCACCTCAGCTCCATCACTGTCTATCGCTTACACAGGAGATTGATAGCCACACAGAATTCTCTCTCTTCGACCTTCATTACCAGAGTGGCATATTCTGACTGACAGCCAACCTCATTTCACAGAACGCTAAACTACCAGTTTCGGTGGTATAAGCATTTAGTTTCAAAAAAGAAATGAATTTACTCCCAATTCCAAGACGAACTCTAATAAGAATATGCATTCTTATAAGAGAAAATATGCCTTAAAAATAAAAGTGAAGGAGGAGGAAGGAGAGAACACTATTATGCTAAAAGGCAAAAATAGTAGTTCAGCCATGCAGGATTTATGATCTTTTTTCTTTCCTTTTGAAATTCACAAGTGCAGATAAAGCAACAGTTCACAGCTCAGGTGTTTTAGAAGAGCCATGCTAGACCATAATGGCCCTGCCGTACTTCAGAAGGAGAAGAAATAAAAGGGTTTCCTTGCATTCAATGTTGTCAGGCCACCAGTCATCTAGCAGGTACAACTGGGTATGGATGATGAAAGGAGTGAATGGGCGTGTGCTCCCCTCCACATGGGCATTAGAGTCGTGTGCTTCATTGATACAAGGGTAAACATTTCATTGTCCCAGTTGCTTATACCAGTCTTACCCAATTTGCCCTAATGCATACAGTGGAGCTACGCTTATATGATGCTTCCTGTGTTGTGCTCACTGCGCAGTGTGCATCTTCACATTTCTACAGCTGCAAATGTTTGGGATGGGACCGCAGCACCCAGGGAGGGGAGGGTTAGCCCTTCCCTCCTCTGCCAAAATAATAAACCAGCTTTGGCTATGCATGATGCTTAAGCCCTTCAGATGTTTTGGCCTACACCATAGCTAACCATTGGCCACGGCAGCTAGGTCTGATGTGAGCTGTAAGCCAAAACATCGGGGGGCCAGCAGTAGCCTATCCCAAATACATTGTGGCTTTACATCATGAGAAGTCTCATGCTAAGATTTGCACGTGAAACAACACCAGTGTGTTTTCTGCTCATGGTTCCTTGGGTCTGAGTCACTGAGTTTAGTGGTTGACGTTGGGATACTTGGAGGTGAGATCCATCTGGCTGGCTGGCATGAGACAGATGGTCTTGTCAGTGGTGCTTTCCTTCCCTCACACAAGTTGTGGAATCCTATTCTGACTGAGGTCCATGTATCTCATCGTTAATAGCTTTTGGAGGGGTGTCACAGACTTATTTGTTCTGAATCCATATTTCTTGAAAGTAATTGTACCATTGCTGCTTGACCTATGCTTAATTGCTTTATTCATTTTAATGATATTATTTAATTTATTTATTTACATGTATTTATAGGCAGCCTATAATTGCCAAGGCCTTCCTATTATGCTAGTGTATTGCTGCTATTTATTGTTACTGCTATTTTAGTCCCATTATGTGCCTATTGTGTGGTATCCATTCGCTAAAGGTCCAAGTTTAGCTTACTTTAAAACAGGTGTCCTCAAACTTTTCCATCAGGGTGCCAGTTGAAAGCTGGTGGTACTGGGTGCAGGCTGGAAAGGTGGTGCCGGCGGTGTGCGTGGGCTGGCGTGGGGGTGGTTTGCGCGGGCGCGCGCACTGAGGCGGGGGTGGAGCACGCGGCAAGGCCAGGCAAGGCGAGGTGACGCGAGGCATGGGCTGGCGCGTGCAGTGAGGGGAGGCGAGGCGAGGTGCGGGCGGGGGCGGGCATGCGCCACAAGGCGGGTGCACGAGGCAGCGGCTTGCTCGCTTGGAGATCGTTTTCTCCAAGCGAGCAAACCGCTGCCTCCCCACGCATGGGGTGAGGTGGGAGGCAGCGGGCATGGGTGCGGGTGCGGCGGGTCCAAATGGGTATGGTGGGCCAGATAAATGGGCATGGCAGGTCGGCCCCGGCCCCTGGGCCATAGTTTGAGGACCCATGCTTTAAAACAAAACAAAATTCATGTGCTTCCTATATTCAGGCGGGTAGCAGAGGTCACACAGGGGACCTGAGCTACATGGTAAGCACCCCTGGTTTTTATTGCAAGTTTCCTTGTGAGGGCTTGGTCCTAAAAACACCTAAACTGAACAAATGCATAGCAAATACAGAACACTGTATCAAAGTACAATTGCACCAAGTGCTGTTTCTTACCTTTTGGGCTCTGGAGGTGGCTGGGGTTTGGAATCTTTCCTCTTTTTGGACTCCTTTTTGGAATCCTTTTTTGGCTCTACTTCTGTAGCTGGGGGATTATTTACAACTGGCAGTATGCCACCTAATATCTCTTCCATTTTTTGACTTGGAAGGTGATTAGGGATGGTTGTAAGTGAAAAGGTAAGGACAATCAAAACAGAAAGAAATTGAAAGAAACAAAGATGTTGTAACAGAACAAATTAAAGAAAACAAGCTGAAGGGAAATAAGCATAACAACAGTAACATAAACAATGCCAACAATAAGTCAAGAAAAGTAGTAAAGGAAAGACAGAACAAAAAAGCAAACGAGAAGAACCCAACTCTGTTGCCCTGGCAAGATGGATCAAATGAACTGTGACTTGAGTGGCAGCCTTATAATGTGAAATATCAGCAATGTGTATAATAATTCATGATGATGTTTACCAGAGAACTTACAAAAACACTTCATTATTTTATAACACTCTGTTATTCAGTAGCATATGTAGAACAGAGTGTGACATCTCACTGTATAGAATGCAACTTCCAAAAAGAAAACCTTCAGTGCAACAAATACCGTAGCAGTCTCTATAAAAAGAAAAGCTATCTTGTCAGTACTTTCAGGCATAATATCTACATTATTCTAAAAGCAAGAGTGAACTGGAAATGTCTGTGTCGCTATTGTGGCTGTCAAATGGCAAAAGAGTTTTACATGTTGAAACCTTAACTTGCAACCTGCATGCCATCTGATACATGATCGCAGGCTGAATGGGCACAGCTGGGCATGGGGAAAGCGCTTGTAGAACTTATGGGTCAGTAAAAATCAATACAGCCCTGGCAGACTCTCATGTGAGGTTATTGTTCCATAATACTGGTACAGATTGTTCTGTTAGCGCAGTCTATAATGATGGCACAGAGGATTTTGGAGGGCAAATATGAGTTATCAAATGGATCATCCATCAAGAAAAGTTGTGCGAATTAAAATGGAGCTGAGGACAGGCCAAAGGGTAGATTCCCTCTTGCTTCTCTTCTTCCCGTCATGATGTGATTCCTAATGAACACATCCCTGCTTTACCCCATCCAACACAGAGAGTGTTTGGGACCAAAATGTATACAAGTTCTTCATAGGACTTAAATATACTCTGCAGCATTTCTACAGACCTTTTAAACAATTATGTGAATGATACCACCTAAATCAAATAAAATGTAGAAGTTGTTTAAAGCAAAAGTATCAAAAGCCACCATCTTGTATACAGCAGTCTTTACTAAATTAAAACCAAGACCAAAATCTGAACCTACATTTTTAAGCTACTGTCAAGGTGTCTGTTAAATAATCATTTAAATAATTAAATGATGCTTTACATCTTAGTAAGTGCAACAAAATTCATTGTCTTGCTGTGTTTGTTTGTTTGTATCTAACTATCTCTAATGAAAGCGACACACTTAAAATACATTGTTGTTGTATCTCATTAGAAGCTATATTCTGCAGTCTCAAGCTACCCTGTGTTTTTCCCAAACATATGTATAAAAATAAAGGCAAATAAAAACGAACAGTTAACTTGGATATGAGTTATTCCTGTCTTCCTTTAGATAAGAATCAAAATGAAAAAACAAACCCATCCTATTATTGGATACTTTGTGCACCAAATGCACAATAGTAAGAACACAGACATTAAGGACTGTTGTGGAACATCCAAAGAAACCTGCATTTAGAAAAAGGACCTTCCCTCTCTGGTGGTATCAAACATGGTCCGCCTTACCTGTTGCCATGAACATGGGATGCACAAAAGGCGAAACTGTAGTGAAGCAGGGTGGGATCGATCATCGCTCCATTTTCTGCCCGCTCAAGCAAATCACTGAGGTAGCAGAGATGCCTGTGGCAGCCTCTGACTCCATTACGTGCGCAGTACTCATCTAGCACAAATACCTGGCCAGGACTGAACCAGCCCTGTGTGGAAAGAGAGATACCTTTCAAATGCTGAGTTAAACAGCAGCAGTAGCAGCAGCAGCAGCAGCAGCAGGGGAACGGGGAGGGCATCAAACAAGGCAAATATTTAATGTAAATACATCAATACATAGCCAATCGTTTCTTGAGTTTAACCTACATCAAAGTTGTGTAGGTGACTGTGCTTATGCTGTGGACTTCCCCCATCCCCTTATCTCCTGGAGCGCCTGTGCACTCTGCAAGATCTGGTCTGGGGGGATTCCCAGTCCTCTAGAGCAGAGTTTGGGAGCAGGCAGGGCTGCAGGAAAAAACCTGCCCCGCTGGTGGATGTTACCCAGGCAGTGCGGGATGGACAAAGCAGGATTTCACTGTACGCATCATCATTACAGCACGCCTGTCAATACAGTCAGAACGTTCTATCACATGAGGAGGCAGAACTGCGTGGCGACGAGTGCACAAACGGGTCGGAGGATGACCGAGGCTGTGAGTCAGGTCCCTTCTGGTATCTGCTAATATAAATTAGGAAGCGAGTGGGATAGGAAGCGAGAGGCAGATATCACCTTATCAGGACTGCACCCACTGGACAGGAAATGCCTCGTTTATGAGGAAATTCCTACTTCACTTCATAGTTGGACACCACCACTTCTGATAAGGGAAATGACTTCAAATGCTCCTTGGTGTACACATATTGGGTTGGATCCACACTTAAACATCCCCATAGTAGGCTTACTGAAATACCCAATCTACTGAAGAATTTTGATAGGTCTGCTCCAAGCGTGACTGAATCTGAGCACAACTCATGGACCCATTATTTTTTTGATGCCATGGGAAAACCATTTTATTCAGCCAGGTTTTCAGATTCCTGGCTTGGTCTGGCTTTTATTGAAGTACCCCAATGTTGGTTACTGATATTTTTTCTGGGATTTTGGTTAAATAATATTTTAACATTATTCTTAATTGTTTTGAGAAGCTCATTATACCTGCAAAGTGGTATGCAGATGTCTGACAGAAGCAAAAGCAAACCAATGGCTTATTATCTGAATAATAATCAGAATCTGCAGCATGCATTAATAAGTATGATGCTTCTCTGGTATAAGTATCAGTCCATGAACTGGCAAGCATATACATTGCCTTGTATATTGCTGGATCGGACATTTAGAACTTCTTCACACACAGATGGAGAAGTAGCCCTTGAGGTTGCAACCAGATAGATGATTCAGTGTCTGATGCGGTGCTTCCATGTTTATATCCTGGACTGTTGCAACCTATGTTTCTGCAACGAAGTCTATAACTGCTGCTGCTGCTCATAGTACCACCACCACCGCTGCTATTAGTATTCATTTCCTCTTTTTGCCACCCTTTTGCCAAAGCTTTCTGGGTGGCTCAGCACCATCACCACCTCCACCTCGTATCATTTGCTGCATGTGCATGATTTATGGCTTGGAAGTGACACTGATATTGGTGGATACAATGAGTCAGAGGGCACTTCTTCCACACACAGCCATGTGGCACAAATATGCAAAGAGGGTGCATTATCAGCAATCACGACTGCATGTGAATCCCCACTGAGTAACTTGTATGGTGACAAATTGTGCACCATGCAGGGTCATGTCTTGGGTGAAGGAAAGTGGGCAGCCACTGAGGGTACCAAAGAGATCCAGGACCCCATACGACCTGCAGGCAGGCAGTGGCAAGAGTGGCTGGCCAGGCAAAGTTTGGGGCACAGGAAAGGAAAGTGGGTCCCATGTGGCAGGCTGGGAATGATGACTGGGCATGCTGAGAATCACTGAACTAAAGAATGCATGTATAATGTTCCAAACAAAGGCTTAAAGCACATTATGGTACACTGAAAAATACTGTCTTGCTAAAGACATAGAAATGATCAGAGCAGATATCAATATACAAGCAAACTTTCCTCTTCTGATGCACCCGTTCCATGCCACTCGCTGATTGCAGTAGAGTGGCAAGGCACAACATTGTACCTACCAAGGTACCGGAATTCCCTGAGGCAGCCATAGCCCGAGAGCCCGTGTGGTGCAGGGGTTAAGAGTGCAGTCCTGGGACTCACCCCTATCCGGGTTCTAGTCCTTCCTCATCCATGGAGCAAACTGGCCAGTCACTGACCCTCAACCCAACCTACCTCATATACCTCACAGGGTTGTTTTGAGGATAAGAATGCAAAGAATTATGTAAGCTGCCTTCACTGTCTTGAAAGGAAAAAAACGTGGAATATAAATATAATAAATAAAATATAAATACATAAAATGTAAATAAGAGAACATCATGATGCTATTGAGCTTTTGCACTTGATCCTATGGGATATTGCATGACAATAGTTTCCTTTCAGACTGTGTGCTTTTCCCTTGAATTATGCATTAATGTACAACAGTACAATAGCATGATAATAGTGTATTATCATGCTATGGAAACTATGACTGGGAACAATGTTTTGTCACTGCTTGGGAATACAGCTCAATTATTCATTGCCTAATATTAGCATCAGTGCCCTATATTTAGTGTACTCTCTTCTATTTTCAAAGGTCTAGTTGTCTTTATGGGATACGAGAAAGGAAAAATGCCAGGAAATCATGCAAGTCATTTGCTGTGCAAATAGAAAAACTGTCTGTTTTTGTCAGCTGCTCTGGACCTTGCTTAGATGAAAGAATAAGGTTGCAAGGACTGTTTTGAATAGGAATATAATACATATGACCATGTAAAGTTTCTCAGCTTGAAAATAAGAGGTGGAGTATCCTTTCCTCTTCTATAAGAAATTTTGTGTGTCTGAGAACACAAATTAATTCTTTGAGATACCTTTTAATAATACATCACAGTCAGGGTGACTTTAGTTTTAACATGGATTATAACTGATTTATACCTTACCCTCTTGTAGATTCAGGGTGATTTGATTATGCACATGAGTGTATTAAAGACTCAGACTAGATAACAAAATAGAACTTGTCATCCATGTCCACTAAACAATCCAGCTAAATCTAAATTCCTTACCTTATCTATGAAGGAAGCTAGGACTCTCTAGTAGAGTTCTACAGTTAACAAGAATAGTCCTTTGCACATGTTTAACTCTGTACGGATGGATGACTCTGCACACGTGTTCGCGTGCACAGAATTCCCATTGCATCTCACACCTCTTCCCCATCACTGTTCTCAATGCGCTTGACATCCTGTCTATAGAGGGGTCTCTATGCACTGATGGCATGTAGCACCATTTTTGGTGGAAGATGGGTAAAAATTCAATCAGTAGTTACAAGCCATTGTGAACTGGCTCAGACTACATGGAATACACCCTCCAAAAACAGAAGATAAAGATCAGTGTAAGGAACCGGTGCATATTCCAGGGTATACGTGCAGACATTGTGGGCATGGGTTCTTCAGTTCATGAGACTAGGGAACATTTGAGATCTCAAAGACCACCTTGGTGTATTCTTCTGTACACACAGATGAAATGCTTGTGCAGGGCTAAAGTGCATTTTTTCTCTTGGCAAGAGAGGTGCTCCTGACATCTCCAGGTAGGGCTATGAAAGAAGGGGCCCTCTCTCACATAGGAAGGTCTTTTAGTATACACAGGGCTTAAGCTGTTAAAGGGCCTTACAGGGCAACAGTAAGGACCCTGGAGTATGATTCAAAGGGGACTGGAATCCAGTCCCTACTTAGGTGTCTTGCAAGCATAGCAGTATTATACTCCCGGCAGCCTATGGTGTTTGCATTAGTTGATTTCTCAGAACAATCTACAGGGGCAGCTGCACATGTTAAGAAGTGTTATAATAGTGAAGTTTCAAGGTTACACAGGCACAAATTAATAAGGGACTATCTTTGTAAATCTATCCCAGCATGCCAGATCACAATACCATGATTTTGAAGATGAAAAAGTGTCATTATGAATGCAGCAATAAGAGGTGGTCAGGTAGCAATATCCCCTATTTGGAAATTCTGTACATGCATGAGAAATGTGATCATATCACACATGCAGAGTCTTCAATATTGATAGTGAAGCTGAACAATTGATAAGATGTATCTCTATAATGCTTCAAAACTGCAAAATCTTTCATATTTTAATTGAAAAGTTCCTGCGGCGACTAGATCAGTGCCCTGCCCCTTTAGGCAACTTCTTTGCCACCCCATCTGCCACCCCAAATGCTACGTCTTTGAAATGACGCTGCTGTGAAAAGATTAAAATATATTTTCTACCACTCGGATGACACCAAATCTTTTCTGGATGCCAAAATAGCTACTGTTGAGGAGAGTTGAAGAAATATCAATTAAGAACTCCGTCGAAGGGATTTGCTTATCCTTGTTGGGCCAACTCCAGAACAGATTGAAAAGTGATTAAAATAATGAGGGGCAGAATCAAAGGCATGGGAAACAGACATCATTCCTTTCATTACTCTAATCGCCAGAAAGCGCATGTGTGAAATTGAAGATGCCGATTGAGAATAACGCAGAAGGTGGGCTGTCATAAGAGTCCTCTGATGGCGGTTTCTTTTCTCTGTTTCACTTCAAAAGAGCTACTGAAAATTTGCTTTTTAGTTAGGGCTGAAGCAGAAATATTTCCCCTACTTAAGAAATTCCAGGTGGTTCCTATTTTCATTAACATTTTGGCAATATGCAGGGGGGAGGAAATAAAGTAAAAGGCACACTGATTTCCAGGAGCTGGAATTTAGAATTTCAGAAAAATATTGCAGTTAATGAAAACAGTTACTGAGAGAAAGTGATGCAGATTCAGATACACCTTGTATATGTGTAAAACAGCAGCACACGGTCTTTTTCTGACCATACTTAAGAAAATAGTCCAATGAGTTGAATTTTTCAAGAACAACGAAATGCCTCTTCAAGGATGCCATTTTATTCTTTGATCTCAATGTACAGCTTACCCTAATATCTGCCACTGATATTTGTCTTCTCTTTTTCAGGGCAGTCATAGGCTGGCTATATATGGGCTTTAACTACATCAGGGATTTTGCTGAGACACAGAAGCAGAGTTACAGCTT